CCCTGATATGACCCCTTGACCCCCGAGATGACCCCCAGATGACCCCTTGACCCCCGAGATGACCCCGATGACCCCCAGATGACCCCTTGACCCCACCTTGCTGTTGAGCAGCTCCAGGTCCAGGTCGGCTTTCTTGGCCCACTTCTGCCAGAAGTTGGGGTCGTCCAGCGCGATGTCCGTGCGGTTCTCGGACGCCACAAAGCTGGCCTGGCCGCGGGGGACAGCGGTCAGCGCTCAGCCCTGGCCACCCATGGTCACCCGGGACCACCCGTGGTCACCCGTGGTCACCAGTGGTCATCCATGGTCACCAGTGGTCACCAGTGGTCACCAGTGGTCATCCATGGTCACCAATGGTCACCAGTGGTCAGCCCTGGCCACCCATGGTCACCCATGGTCACCCATGGTCACCAGTGGTCACTCTGGCTCTCCTGCGGCCGGCCCGCAGCCATGAACCTCCATGGTGGCCACCAAAGGTGACCTGGACACCCCTGGACACCCCTGGACACACCTGGACACACCTGGACACCCCTGGACCTTCTCCAGCCCCACCTGGACACACCTGGACACACCTGGATGTTCTCCAGCCTCACCTTGGAGAAGGTGGAGCCCTTGCCCTCGCTCTCGATGGTGATGGTGGTGATGGAGCTCCACCCAGCCCCACCTGGACACACCTGGAGCTCCACCCAGCCCCACCTGGACACACCTGGATGTTCTCCACCCCCCAGGTGCTGACCTTGGAGAAGGTGGAGCCCTTGCCCTCGCTCTCGATGGTGATGGTGGTGCTCCTCCGCAGCAGGATCTGCTCGATGTCCTCCTCGCAGAACTTGGCGCCCTCGTCGTCCTCGTCCATGATGGCGGCGTAGGCGCCCTTGCGCAGCAGGTCCTCGATCTCCTTCTTGGAGAACTGCTGGATCTGCAACGGCCGGACGCTCGGACACCCGGACACACGGACACTCGGACACCCGGACACACGGACACCCCAAATCTGGGACACCCCAAATGTGGGACACACCAACTCCTGGGGAACCCAAACTCCCAGGAAACCCAACTTGGAGAACCTCAGCTTGGAGAACTTCACCTTGAAGAACCTCACTTTGGAGAACCTCAACCTGGAGAACCTCAACCTGGAGAACCTCAATCTGGAGAACCTCAATCTGGAGAACCTCAACCTGGAGAACCTCAGCTTGGAGAACCCTAAACTGAAGAACCCCAACTTGGAGAACTCCAACCTGGAGAACCTCAACCTGCAGAACCTCAGCCTGGAGAACTTCATCACCTTGGACAAACTCAGCTTGGAGAACCCCAACCTGGAGAACCTCAACTTGCAGAACCCCAACTTGAAAAGCTTCATCAACCTGGAGAACCTCACCTTGGAGAACCTCAACTTCATCACCTTGGACAAACCCAGCTTGGAGAACCCTGAACTGGAGAGCCCTGAACTGGAGAACCCCAATGTGGACAACCCAACCTGGAGAACCCCAACCTGGAGAACCCCGAACTGGAGAACCTCAACCTGGAGAACCTCACTTTGGAGAACCTCCACCTGGAGAACCTCAACTTGGAGAACTTCAACCTGGAGAACCTCAGCTTGGAGAACCCTAAACTGAAGAACCCCAATCTGGAGAACCTCAATCTGGAGAACCTCAACTTGGAGAACCTCAACTACAAGAACCTCAACTTGGAGAACCTCAACTTCCAGAATCTGGACCCAAAGAACCCCAAACTGGAGAACCCCAAACTGGAGAACTTCATCACCTTGGACAAACCCAGCTTGGAGAACCCTGAACTGGAGAACCCTGGAGAACCCCAATGTGGAGAACCTTGACCTGGAGAACCCAAACTGGAGAACCCCGAAGAGCCCTGAACTGGAGAACCCTGGAGAACCCCAATGTGGACAACCCAACCTGGAGAACCCAACCTGAAGAACCCAACCTGGAGAACCCAAACTGGAGAACCCAGAGGAGCCCCGAACTGGAGAACCTCAACGTGAAGAGCCCCATCCTAAAGAACCCCGGCGTGGAGACGCCCGTCCTGAGGAACCTC